GGCAGAACAAAAAGAAAAAAAGGCGCAACGATCAAACCTTATCAAGCTGGAGGTAGGTTTAGTTGGTTTTTGTTTCCAAGTATAGGTTTGATAAAAACACAGAATATTTGGCTGTTGAAGCCATCAGTATGCAAGAAGAACAGTATTGTCTGTTCAGATACACCAGGAGAGAATACATATTTGTTTTCAAAATATTTCTTTTTGTTTGCATTAGTTCTAAGTTTCTCATAAGTTTTGTTCTTTCTCCACTGCTTTAACTCCACCAAAAACATATATGTATATACCATTTCTCAAAAGTTTTGATTGTCTACATTTGAAGTTAAAAATGAACATTCTGTCTTGCTAATAGTACTAACTTATAACATTCACTAAAAAATGAAAAAAAAAATCGAAGAAATTGAGGTTCTCTAAGCAAAATTCTGGCAGCAAAATACAAGGAATCTAAGGACTATCTCAAGTCCAATAATTTAAGGTTTGATTGAAAAAGATTACCAATCTCTCGAAGATTTCAATATACATTAGTAGTATTCATGAGCTTCCAACGCAAAACAAACTTGACACAAATTTTAGAATTTTCGAATTAAAAAAAGTTGAATTCCTTGTTTCTTCTCAATGTTTCACTATTCATGGATCATTTATGAAATTGCAATCAAACGAAGATTTCATTAGAACTAATGACCTACATGCGATGCGATCCAGCTAATTTAATCGGTAGATGAAACTTCCAAAATCGAAGATACTTTAAACGAAAGAGGCGCCATGAAAACAATCGGAAAACGAGAACTTACAGTTCAACTCCGACTATATCTTCCGACAATTTTGAACACAGCCGCCGCGACGAACCACCAGCCACGACGGTTCAGTCGCCGAGGGGCTAACGGAATCAGCGATTCTCTAATAAGAATATATTTGCTTAATTTAGTTGTTCGGCCCATTCTATAAAATAAATATATTGGGCCTAATCCTAAAAATGTTTTGGGTTGATCGATTAAAAGATAGGTAAACCATAAAAGAAGAATCCATATCTATTAAACATTTTTTCTTTCAACAACAAAAAGACCACACACATGATAGAAGAAAAAATTGACGTTAAGTAACCAATCAACATCACTCATCATGTATTTACCTTAATCATTGTCTTATGAAGATAACGTTTGTCAATACTTCGACTTCGTCTTAAACTTGATTATTTTTGGGTTTGAATGTGCTAAAGATACGACGAGTCCATTAGTGATTTTTGATCTTTGATTTAAGTGTTCTGAAATTTATAAATTTGTCTTTAGTTCTCGGCCGTAATTAAACTGCAATCCGGTTTTCTCACTCTTGGATTCGTTTGAATTTTATTGTTTTTTTACACTAGTAATTTTTTTTGGTCGAAATTCTAATTCATTCATTAAACCGAAATAGTTTCCAAACCAAGGTAAACCGGTTCAGGATACAGAGATAATTTTGCTAGTTTATCGGCTTTGGTATTTAATCCCTTGGGATGAAATTGAAAGAAGAGATTTGCAGATCTTTTGAGAGGTTTTGGATGTCATGAATGATTCCATAGATCTCCAGATTTGAACCTTGTGAATTGATGATGTCGATTAGTTGTTTGCAATCCGAGACCACGCTTCCGATATGAAGGGATTGATGTCATGCCTGAAGCAAGCCTTCTCGCATGGCTAAAGCCTCTGCCATGAGCGCGCTCGAGATCTGAGTTGCTCTCTTTGTTCCTTGTACTAGGATCGAATTGTTGGAGGTGCAAATGAGCAAGCCTAGTCTGGCGTCACCTGTGGTCGGATTCCAGGCTCCATCAGAGAAGCATCGCAATCCGGTCGTTGGTGATTTAATCGATCTTCCTGTGGTAGCATAACTTCTGTGTGTCGTGGTTCTTGCGCATCGATCCACTCTTTTGCTTCGTTTATTGACTTTGTCATCGTCTCTTCCACCGTAGAGATCCTGTTGTTGAAAAGTTTGTTGTTGCGTGCGATCCACAGGTTCCATAGGATCCAAGGACTCAAGGATCCTGCTGTAATGCCGGTGGGTGGTAGGCAGATAAGCATCTTCGAGAGAGTTAACCCTGCCTGGAGGTACGCTATTTGCCGGGAGTAAACTGATGTTGAGAAAGGGGATAAAGACCATACTTGCACCGCAAACTGGCAGTGAAAGAGAACATGGGATGTGGTCTCAGGTTCTGCACCTATTGCAATGGATGTTATTTGTGATGCCTCTTGAACCTAGTTGCT